CAAATGGTAAGCAAGAGTAATATAAGAGGGGCCTGTAGCCATGACTAATGAACAGAGAAAATGTTATTTTAGTACCAGGAATGTCTGCATTGTTTATTCTGGATCCTATTTTGAAATTGACATCTGTTGAAATTTGTGTGAAATTGGCCAAATTGCCAATTTCTGACCACTTTATTGGGTAGTTGAAGTAAGTGAATGGGCGGTTTCTTGTACTCAGTTGACAAACTAGAAGTAAGTAAATAAGTAAGTTTATTCAGGTATACTCAAATACAGTTACATAGATTATCATACATAGCAGCATATGTATAGACAGTGACTTATTTCCCGTACCTGGCTTGGGCTTGTCATCTATGATTTTTGGTAAATATTTTTTTTTCTCGGTTGTTTGTTGGGCTATCTCATTGAAACTTGGGCAATGTATGATGGAAAGATGCTTCTTAACATACAACAGAAATAGAAAAGACAGACGATAAATAAGGGAGTTCACTTCTCAGCCATTAGCCGCCTCTTTGCGGTATATTTTCACATGGTTTTTATGGTTGTATTCTTTTTTTTTTTGGTCTCATTTGATAGAATAGAAGATATATTACAGAAATAGACATGATTTTGAATGCTTTCATGATGAAAAGTACCTTGAAATTGAGCTCAAAGTAGCAGAAATGTTCAAGTTTTGCCGATGTTCAATGAACTTTGTGTAAGTCGAGTTGGTTAACTTTATTAAGTGTATTCTAACCTAACCCCTCTGTAGTCCGGCAAACTCAGTAATCCGGCACACTACAGGCCCCAATGATGCCGGATTTGTGATGGAGGACCTGTACCCGTACACTGATAATTATATTTATGTATACCTGTTTGTAGATGAATGGTTCAGAGAACCGACATGTTGATAAATTAGACACATGTGCAACTCTTGGGTATCTTTATTGAGGAAACGCCTCGCCACACAGCAGCCTCATCAGTCCATACAAAGGAGAATCTTGAAGAACAGGAGGAGAATGAGGTAATCAGTCCCTCAACCTTGAGTCGATGTGGTCAGTCCATCAATCTTGAGTAGAATACGGCATACGTGCGGAGAAGGAGCTTATAAACCGTTGGCAGGAGAGGTGCAGCAGACATAGGTTGTGTCACATTTGTTCAATGTGGAAGTAGGTCGTGCCCAAGAATTAGGAAAGCGAAGAATTCCCAAGTATTAAGATCCCAAGAAGTTGCAGTGTCTGACAGGTTTGTAGATGAATGGTTCAGAGAACCGACATGTTGATAAATTAGACACATGTGCAACTCTTGGGTATCTTTATTGAGGAAACGCCTCGCCACACAGCGGCCTCATCAGTCCATACAAAGGACAATCTTGAAGAACAGGAGGAGAATGAGGTAATCAGTCCCTCAACCTTGAGTCGATGTGGTCAGTCCATCAATCTTGCGTAGAATACGGCATACGTGCGGAGAAGGAGCTTATAAACCGTTGGCAGGAGAGGTGCAGCATAGGTTGTGTCACATTTGTTCAATGTGGAAGTATGTCGTGCCCAAGAATTAGGCAAGCGAAGAATTCCCAAGTATTAAGATCCCAAGAAGTTGCAGTGTCTGACAGGTTTGTAGATGAATGGTTCAGAGAACCGACATGTTGATAAATTAGACACATGTGCAACTCTTGGGTATCTTTATTGAGGAAACGCCTCGCCACACAGCGGCCTCATCAGTCCATACAAAGGAGAATCTTGAAGAACAGGAGGAGAATGAGGTAATCAGTCCCTCAACCTTGAGTCGATGTGGTCAGTCCATCAATCTTGAGTAGAATACGGCATACGTGCAGAGAAGGAGCTTATAAACCGTTGGCAGGAGAGGTGCAGCAGACATAGGTTGTGTCACATTTGTTCAATGTGGAAGTAGGTCGTGCCCAAGAATTAGGCAAGCAAAGAATTCCCAAGTATTAAGATCCCAAGAAGTTCCTCGCTGTGTGGCGAGGCGTTTCCTCAATAAAGATACCCAAGAGTTGCACATGTGTCTAATTTATCAAGATGTCGGTTCTCTGAACCATTCATCTACAAACCTGTCAGACACTGCAACTTCTTGGGATCTTAATACTTGGGAATTCTTCGCTTGCCTAATTCTTGGGCACGACCTACTTCCACATTGAACAAGTGTGACACAACCTGTCTGCTGCACCTCTCCTGCCAACAGTTTATAAGCTCCTTCTCCGCACGTATGCTGTATTCTACTCAAGATTGATGGACTGACCACATCGACTCAAGGTTGAGGGACTGATTACCTCATTCTCCTCCTGTTCTTCAAGATTCTCCTTTGTATGGACTGATGAGGCCGCTGTGTGGCGAGGCGTTTCCTCAATAAAGATACCCAAGAGTTGCACATGTGTCTAATTTATCAACATGTCGGTTCTCTGAACCATTCATCTACAAACCTGCCAGACACTGCAACTTCTTGGGATCTTAATACTTGGGAATTCTTCGCTTGCCTAATTCTTGGGCACGACCTACTTCCACATTGAACAAGTGTGACACAACCTATGTCTGCTGCACCTCTCCTGCCAACAGTTTATAAGCTCCTTCTCCGCACGTATGCTGTATTCTACTCAAGATTGATGGACTGACCACATCGACTAAAGGTTGGGGGACTGTTTACCTCATTCTCCCCGTTCTTCAAGATTCTCCTTTTAGGGACTGTAGGCCGCTGTGTGCGAGGCTTTTCCCTCATAAAGTACCCAAGAGTTGCACATGTTTCAATTTAAATCAACATGTCGGTTCTCTGAACCATTCTCTACAAACCTTCGCACTGCAACTTCTTGGGATCTTAATACACCTCTCTGACATTTTCTTAAGTTTTACGGGCAGTTTGTTTATGTATTTTTTATTTTTTTATTACACACGGCCGATTCCCACCAAGGCAGGGTCCCCAAAAAAAGAAAAATTTTCACCATCATTCACCACACTGTCTTGCCAAAGGGTCTTTACACTACAGTTTTTTTAAAATGCAACATTAACACCCCTCCTTTAGAGTCAGGGGACTGACTTCCCACCCAAACTCAAGTCCGGCCCGCCGGTTTCCCCCGAACCCCTTCATAAAGTTACTTTGCCACACTCCAACAGCACGTCAAGTATTTAAAAAAAAAATTTGTCCCCCATTCACTCCTACAATCACGCTCACAGCCTGCTGGAATCCAAGCCCCTCGCACACAAAACCCACCCTTTTCCCCCTCCCTCCAACCTTTTCCCAGGGCCCACCCCCCAACCCCCCCCCCTTCCTTCCACTACAGACTATACACCTTGAAGTCATTCTGTTTCTCTCCATTTTCCTCTACAGTCCGAACCACCTCAACAAAACCCTTTCCCCAGCCCCCTGGACAACATTTTTGGAAACCCGCACCTCCTCCTAACTTTCAAACTCATTTCTCTGCATTATATTCACACCACACATTGCCCCAAAAACATTTCCCCCCTCCCCAGCCTTCTCCTCGCTCAACATTCACACCCGCTTCCAAACCCCTATAAGAGGTTGGTAAAAAATATGCTCTCATACATTTTCCCCCTTTGCCTCCAAGGCAAATTCTTTGTCTCCACAGACCCTAAGTGCACCACTCACCCTTTTCCCCCCCCTCAATTCTATGTTCACCTCATCCTTTCATAGACCCTCCGCTGCCATGCCACTCCCCCTTTATCGAATACATTCACTTCCTCCCTACTCCCTCCCCCCCAATCTGATATCCAATCTTTATCACCTAAATTTTTGTTATCCTCATAACCTTTCTCTTTTCCCGTATTCACTTTTTAAATTTTTTTCTTTTGCACACCCTAAAACCAAAATTCACCACCAACCTGCAAATTCTCTTCAGAAAAATCCCAAAACAAGTGTCAACAAAAGACAAATGTGCAACTCCCCCTTTATGTGGGGTTCTTTATCTTTTTTAAATCCAGCCCTTGTCAAGACCCCGCATTTTCTTCCTTACAACCCCCTCTAAAATAATTAAACAACCACGGTGACATCACCATCCTTTCAAAACCTCTTTTTCTGGGAAATAATTTCCCTCTTTCCTAGACTCTAACTGACCTCACTAACC